TACTGCTTTATATTCTGTTATATAGCATTTACTGTCTCATCCAGGATGAAAGGATGAATCAGAAGGCCTCTTTGTAATAAAGCTCAAATGTGGATAATAAAGCTCAAATTTTTTTTTTTTTTTTTTTTTGCAGGGGGGCATGAGTTACAGAGGTCCTGGAATGGGGCCATCTGTGCCCAGAAGAGGGGGAGCGAGCGATGGGTAGGTTTGAGCGTACCTAGGTTGGTCCTAGGAAACAAAGCCTCACAGGAGAGATGGAGATGCAAACCTTCATAAGGCACCACCCCATGCCAATGCCAAGAGGAAAAGTCCTAAAATAAATGGGATTATAATCCCAACAGTTTCCTTTGATTGGACCATGTAATGTTATAAAAACAAAGACTCAAATTCAGTCATCACCTCATCCTCATGGGGAGGAGGCCAAAATCAACAAAATAGGAATGTGGTGTTGTTATTTAAAAAAAAAAAAAAAGCTTGTTACATGTCTGATTCTCTTAAAATACTACAATAAATCAATAAAAGTGATAACAGACAGTGCTCAATCATAAACCTGATAGTATAGTTGAGGTGCTCAAATACACCTTCAAAAACTGTTCATCGAATTTTTTTTTAAAGATTTTATTTATTTATTTGCTTGGTGGGGGGGCGGGGCATAAACACAAGCCAGGAGAGGGGCAGAGGAAGAAAGAGAATCCCAACCCAACTCCCCACTGAGAAGGGAGCCTGACATGCGGCTTGATCCTATGACCCCAAGATCATGGTCTGAGCCAAAACCTAAAACTGGACACTCAAATGACTGAGCCACACAGGTGCCCCTCATCACTAATACTTAAGGAAGAGTAGATTAAAACAATGAGATTTTTTTTTTTAAGATTTTGTTTATTTGAGAGAGAGAGAGAAAGAGCAGAGGGGAGAGGCTGAGGGAGAAGTAGACCCCCCACTGAGCAGGGAGCCTGACATGGGGCTTGATTCTGGGAATCTAGGATTATGACCTGAGCTGAAGATAGACATTTAACCAACTGAGCCACCCAGGCACCCCAAAGCAATTAGATTTTTTTTAAGAACATTTCTTACCCATCTTTTTTGATAGTACAAACTGGTATCAACAATATTTACAAGAGTGTAGTTTTAGTGTACTAGTGGTAGAATGTAAATAAGCCAAATATACTTACACATACACGCACACACACACATCAGTAAGAGATTGTCATACATCTATTCAGTTCACTAGGCTATTAGTATAATAATGAAAATGAGTATATTTCAGCAATGCAAAGGTCTACGTGACTGTGGAATGGAATAAAGTAGATAATACAAATTCCATTTCAGTAAAATGAAAGAACTGCATACATAAATGCTTATATCTGCAAGTAAAGGTTTTTGGTTTCTAAGATTTTATTTATTTGACAGAGAGAGAGACAGAGATCACAAGTAGGCAGGGAAGCAGGCAGAGAGAGAGGGGGAAGCAGGCTCCCAGTTGAGCAGAGAGCCCCATGAGGACCTGATTCAAGGACCCTGAGATCATGACCTGAGCTGAGGGCAGAGGCTTAACCCACTGAGCCACCTATGTGCCCCTGCAAGTAAAGGTTTTTAAAAGAACAATAATGGTCATTCTGATGGGTAAGATCATCCAGATTTTAACAAGCATTATATACTTTTCTGTTTTGTGTGAAATACCTACAATGAGCTTTACTACTTTATATAATGAGGAAAAATAAACCTGTAGAGTAATTATCATTTTTGAAAATGTTAAGGCCAAATCAAGAAAGTACTCATTAAAATTTATCATAAGATTATAATATATTAATAGCATTTTCATGATTATAAAATCCTTTGATGGTTACAAATTTAGAACCATACTGAAATACTATTTTGCAACCTGTTAACCTGTTTTTTTTTTTCTATTTATCATCTTGTGAACATGTTTCTATATTTTCAAATATTCTTTAACAATGTGATTTTTAAAAATTATTTGGTATTTGCAGTACCAAAGAGGTGGCAGGTGGCTCAGTCAGTTAAGTGGCCAACTCTGGATTTCAGCTCAGCTCATTATCTCAGGGTGGTGAGATCGAGCCCCAAGTCAGGCTCTGCACTTAGCAGGAGTCTGCTTGAGTTTCTCTCCCTTTCCCTCTCCATCTACTTGTGTTCTCTCACTCTAAAACAAATAAATAAATTTTAAAGAAAAAATTTTTTTGTATTCAAGGTATAATATATTACTTTAACTATTATTTAGGTTTCTGATATAGAAAGTAAGTACAGGACATGATTCTGAATTACAAAAGTTGGTTATTGAAGAATAAACTTTTGACAGTGAATAAAGTCAAGTAGGTTCTCAAGTTAATCATAGTTGCCTCATAGTACATAGACTCAAATATGTCATTTGCTGGAGGTGAGACCCCCCACCAGGTGATTCTGCTGCAGAGAATCTAATTCTTGTGCTCAAAAGCACTGATATAAGTAGGATAATCTGGGAAGAAAATGTCTAAATTGGCTATCTATCTGCACTCACACTATTCTTTTCCTTAACAAGATAATCCAAGCAATGATTTTCTTATTAAAATAATAATGGTGAATAATTACATAGCACATTACAAATTCTTGCTCACTGAGTTTTCATAATGAACTTGTGATACAGATGCCATCATGTTTTTTAAGTTTTAAGTCTAGCACTTTCTCTTTCTTCATGAACACATTAGGCCATGAGAATTTATTTTGTATCAGTTATGAGTTAGATTATCTCACTTTTATCTGAAAATATGCAGGGAATGATTCCAATCTGTTGATAACGGTTGAGACCTGATTTAGGACCAAGAATGTGATCTATTAAGGACAATGTTCCATGTGCACTAGAGAAGAATGTGTATTCTGTTGCTTTGGGATGAAATGTTCTGAATATATCTGTGATGTCCATCTGGTCCAGTGTGTCATTTAAGGCCTTGATTTCCTTGTTGATCTTTTGCTTGGATGATCTGTCCATTTCGGTGAGGGGAGTGTTAAAGTCCCCTACTATTATTGTATGATTGTCGATGTGTTTCTTTGATTTTGTTATTAATTGGTTTATATAGTTGGCTGCTCCCACGTTAGGGGCATAGATATTTAAAATTGTTAGATCTTCTTGTTGGACAGTTCCTTTGAGTATGATATAGTGTCCTTCCTCATCTCTTATTATAGTCTTTGGCTTAAAGTCTAATTGATCTGATATAAGGATTGCCACTCCTGCTTTCTTCTGATGTCCATTAGCATGGTAAATTCTTTTCCACCCCCTCACTTTAAATCTGGAGGTGTCTTCGGGTTTAAGATAAGTTTCTTGTAGGCAACATATAGATGGGTTTTGTTTTTTTATCCATTCTGATACCCTGTGTCTTTTGATTGGGGCATTTAGCCCATTAACATTCAGGGTAAGTATTGAGAGATATGAATTTAGTGCCATTGTATTGCCTGTAAGGTGACTGTTATTGTATATTGTCTCTGTTTCTTTCTGAGCTACTACTTTTAGGGTCTCTCTTTGCTTAGAGGACCCCTTTCAATATTTCCTGTAGAGCTGGTTTGGTATTTGCAAATTCTTTCAGTTTTTGTTTGTCCTGGAAGCTTTTAATCTCTCCTTCTATTTTCAATGATAGCCTAGCTGGATATAGTATTCTTGGCTGCATGTTTTTCTCGTTTAGTGCTCTGAATATATCATGCCAGCTCTTTCTGGCCTGCCAGGTCTCTGTGGATAAGTCTGCTGCCGATCTAATATTTTTACCATCGTACGTTATAGACTTCTTTTCTCAGGCTGCTTTCAGGATCTTCTCTTTGTCACTAAGACTTGTAAATTTTACTATTAGGTGACGGGGTGTGGACCTATTCTTATTGATTTTGAGGGGGGTTCTCTGCACCTCCTGGATTTTGATGCTTGGTCCCTTTGCCATATTGGGGAAATTCTCTCCAATAATTCTCTCCAATATACCTTCTGCTCCCCTCTCTGTTTCCTCTTCTTCTGGAATCCCAATTATTCTAATGTTGTTTCGTCTTATGGTGTCACTTATCTCTCGAATTCTCCCCTCGTGGTCCAGTAGCTGTTTGTCCCTCTTTCGCTCAGCTTCTTTATTCTCTGTCATTTGGTCTCCTATATCGCTAATTCTTTCTTCTGCCTCATTTATCCTAGCAGTGAGAGCCTCCATTTTTGATTGCACCTCATTAATAGCTTTTTTGATTTCAACCTGGTTATATTTTAGTTCTTTTATTTCTCCAGAAAGGGCTTTTATATCTCCCGAGAGGGTTTCTCTAATATCTTCCATGCCTTTTTCGAGCCCGGCTAGAACCTTGAGAATCGTCATTCTGAACTCTAGATCTGACATATTACCTATGTCTGTATTGATTAGGTCCCTAGCCTTTGGTACTGCCTCTTGTTCTTTTTTTTGTGGTGAATTTTTCCGCCTTGTCATTTTGTCCAGAGAAGGGTATATGAAGGAGCAAGTAAAATACTAAAAGGGTGGCAACAACCCCAGGAAAATATGCTTTAGCCAAATGAGAAGAGATCCCAAATCGTGAGGGGGGAGAAAGGGGATAAAAAGAGGTTCAGAAAAAAGAAAAAAAAAAAAGAAACAATTAAAAAAAGAAAACCAATAAAGAAAAAATATAAAAAGGAAAAAAATACATATATATATTAGATAAACTAGTTAAAAAACGTTAAAAAAGAAAAGGGTAAAAGTTAAAAAAAATTTAGAAGAAAAAAAATTGAAAAAGAAAAAAGAATTAAATTAACTGCAAGGCTAAAGAATCATGGGGAGAAAGCCATGAGTTCCGTGCTTTGCTTTCTCCTCCTCTGGAATTCCGCTGCTCTCCTTGGTATTGAAACTGCTGTTCTTGGTAGGTGAACTTGGTCCTGGCTGGGTTTCTTGTTGATCTTCTGGGGGAGGGGCCTGTTGTAGTGATTCTCAAGTGTCTTTGCCCCAGGCGGAGTTGCACCGCCGTTACCTG